TATTTATTTATCAGCACAAACACACACACACACACACACACACACACACACACACACACAGTGTGGGCTTTTCTTGGCATGGCAAAGGCGAGGGGAGCCAGGAGCCAAGCAGAGGCTTCCTGCCCTGGGTTCCAGCCCTGCCCCGAAGGACACCAGAAGACCCCATTCCCCTGCCTTTCCTCTACCTGGCGCAGGCCAAGGCCACCAGGGCGGCGGCGGCGTTCTCCTTCTGCCGGTGGGGGATCTGCTGGCCGCAGGGCGAGGTCTCCTCCAGCCAGGAGCAGAGCAGAGCCTCGATGCCGTTCAGGCAGTCGGCAGGCTCCTTGGTCAGGCTCAGAGGCTGGCAGTCCCGGAGGCATGTCAGGAGCACCTCGGCGGTGACGTTACCCAAGGAAGGGTCTGTCCTGCTCTGGGACTCGATCAGGGGGAAGACCAGGAGCAGCCCCATGCGGGAGGTGAAGGGCGCCTGCTCCGAGTGCTGCAGGAGGCCCTGCCGCTTGAGCAGAGCCAGGGCCTCCTCGTCGCCCGAGCTCTCCCGCTCGTGCTGCTCCTCCAAGGCCAGCTGGCGCTGGGCGTTCCAGAGGCCCCGCAGCGCGTTCAGGCGGTACTCCAGCAGGCGGGCGTAGGCGTTGCTCTGGTTGCCGCAGATGGCGCGCAGGCGCTCCGACAGCTCCGTGGGGTTCTTGGTCTCGAAGGTTAAGATCTGGAGGGGACAGAAAGGAGACCTTCAGGCACAGCCAGAAACGCCACCCACCCACCCGCGACTCTTAGATGACCTTCTCCACATCCCTTCAACGGGGAAAGCCCGAAGCCGTGCAGGAGGGGATGGACTCCAAATCCACCATTCAAACGGGGTAGAATAACCGCAGCTCTGCGGGCTTTAGAACAGGGATTCTCAACCATGGCTGCTTTAAAATGGGGGGGACTTCAATTCCCAGAATTCCCCAGCCAGCTTTGCTGACGTCCCGTCCCCCCCCATCTTAAAGTGGCCATGATTGAGAATATACAGAGTTTTCCAGAAAGACTGACAGGAACCAATACCCAAGCTACTGTCTTTTCCCATTATAAAATCCATGCTGGCCCCTGGCCACCTCTGGTCCGAATCCTGCTGCTATTTAATGGCTACCCTAAGAAAAAACACAAAATCTTGATTCACATCTGAGTTTCGTCACTGCCATAACTGCTTAAAAGCCTGAGCTTTTAAGCGGGGGAAGAAATACTATCGATTCCCTCTTTTTACCCCATCTTGCAAGAGCATGCATATCTCTTCTCTCCTCCCTCCCTCCCTCCCTCCCTCCCTCTCTCTCTCTCTCACACACACACACACACACATACACACACACGAGTGGTTTGAATAACGACCCGATTGTCAAATTTGTGTTGTGCCAAGGCACCATTAAAGCAAAATCGCTATCCAGACGGACTTAAAATTTCGGATAATGTTACAAAATTCGCTTTACGATCGGTATCAGATATTTATGAATCCAGAACCTTTTCTTGGTTGCTTTATATGGCTCGTAGGTGACGTTGGATGACATATAAAACCAGGGCTTTTGTCTTTTGAGCCACTTTTAACGGCAAAGAGCAAGAAACGGGATTACCGGGAAAGGATTCCAAGGCCAGTTAGCCAAATAAATACAAGCTGACATACGCAGTTAGCTAAATGGCGCAAACATTGATTTAACAGCTAAAGAGCTGTTGCCCCCGTCTCGAATGGTATGACTGTTGTGTGTTTTTAAATTATGTATTGTTATGTTT